CACACAGGTCTCAGCAGGTTACACAAATATTAGTCCTAGCATCCAAATAAATCTGCCTCCGTGGCCAGAGCCATACACACACACACACACACAAACACACACACACCACCTCCTGCTGCTGCCTGGGCAAAATGAAGTTGCTCCACAAACATCTGAGAGCCCGATTGGATGAAGAGGAACCTGAGGAAAGAGAGAGCTCCTATATGCAGAATTCCTTGTGAATGCTCCTTAATCTCCAGTCTGTTGTCAAGACCAGCCAGTCCTGAATTAGAAGTTCCTAGAGAAGTTAGGATGTACTTGACCAGTCAGAGGCTTGATGAAGTATATCTGTTGGCTGGAGTTTAGGACACAAGTTAAATCTCAATATCTGAGTGAGGCATGCACCCTCATTTTATGGATAAGAAAATAGGCCAGGAGAATCTAAAGATCCTGCTGAAAATAAGAAACAGTAAGTAAATAGCTGGGATTAAACCTAGGTCTGTCATAACTGCAGATTTCAATACTGTTGCTGTTTATCAATAGGCAAGAAGATGGTCACTGTGTAGGTCACATAAAACTAGGCCATCAAGATTTCAAATCCCATGTCCTACCTTCTAGCTTACCATGCCTGCTGCCTTCGAAGACTCCACTACTGCATATGGTAGTTAGGCAATGGCTAGTAGCATAGAGGGAACCCTCCCTGTTTAAGTCAATCATGGAATGGACAGTAGTTATCAGTAGGACTTGGAGAATCACAAAATAAAGATTTGCTGAGTAAATGGGGGAAGGCTACTGTCTTCTAAGGTGTTTTGCACGTTGGCTCCAGCACCAGCTAGTTCTTTATATAGTCACTTGCTTTTGTTCCTACTTCAATGCTGAAGGTCCTCACCTAGAGAACTGCCAAAATGAGAGCTCTCTGCCTGCCTAGTAGACACTGATCCTCATGCAGCCCTTGAGATCAGCTGTGCTTACCCTCCCATGAGTTGCCTGCCTTTTACTTAGTCTTTTCCAAACCTACCTAATGTCCAGGATAATTGATAGGGGGGCTCTTTTCTAGCCATCCACCATGGTGGATGGATGAAAGGCCCGAGCTAACATGGGGTTAGCTCGTTAAAAAAAAAAAATTAAAAAAAAAATTGATAGGGGGAATGTCCCAAGGCCTAGCCAGGCTTACTGTACTATTCTCTCACAGTTCTGTTCCAGGGCTCTAATGGTCTACTAAGATTTTGAACCACTGCAAGCTACCTCACTCTGAACAGGCAGCCAGTGAGCATGCTGCTGTTGTCTGATGTAGGTGGAAAAGGAGATACAGAGACTGTGTATTTGTAATTATGTCATTTCTCCTTCGTAAAACCACTAGTTTAAAAACTGTGTAAGAGCATGAGATGGAGCCTTATTCACCATGGCTAACACATCTAGCTATCTCAGGGGCTCAGCAGAATACTATAGCCTAAGATTGTCTGCACAAACTGTCTCCAATGAAGGGACAGACAGTTTTTATCTCTGTCCTATCTGTCCTTGGCTACAGTAGGATCAAAAAGGAAGCTACTTCCAGATTCCCTTTCTGTTGCATACCCAAAGAGTATCAGAAGTCAGTGCAAGCAAAGGGGAAAATGAGCCTTGACTTTAGTGCAATCCAAATCACTCTGAAGACAGACTCCTACCTCTTCTACTCTCCCTTCAAACCTCCAGATGGAACATCAGGGAGCCACTCAGTCTCATATCCATCCCCTATCAACTCCTTCCCAGGGCTAAGGAACCAGCCAGGACATTGGGGTCCCTCTGGATCACTCTCCAAGTCCATATCAGAAGCTGTCGAGCCCAGAATTGAGGGTGGAGGGAGGTGTGCATGCAAGGATCTTGTGCTTTTTGAGTTGGAGGCTTGAAGTGGAGGGATGAATGCGGTATCTGCGTGTTCAGGTCTGGTCCAGCCACTCTGCCTTCTTGGGGGCCTTGCAAGTATGGACATCCACAGTGTTTCTGCACTCTTTGCACCGCACAGCACAGCACCAGTGGAATTTGCACTCACATTGGGTGACACGGGTGACTCGAGTTGTGTCGTACCCTCGACCACAACACATGATTTCACAACCATCTGTTCCTTTAGATGTCTTGCTGCAGACCCGGCCTGCAGTACCTAGGGAACCTGAGTTGAAGAAGAGAGGTGAGAGTCAAGTTACTTTTGTTTTAGCCATTCTGGGTATCCTTATACTCTTAACAAGCCATAAAGAATCTCTCTTTCTGAAAATATATTCACTAACCAAATGATCATTCAATGCCCTCTGGCCCAGGTTCATTTGTTTCCACCGTTAAAGTTCCCCAGAAGTAGGCCGGGTGTTGGTGGTGCACGCCTTTAATTCCAGCGCTTGGGAGGCAAAGGCAGGCAGATCTCTGTGAAGTCCAGGCCAGTCTGGTCCACAGAGCAAGTACCAGGATAGGCTCCAAAGCCACACAGAGAAACCCTGTCTCAAAAAACCAAACAAAAAACAACAACAAAAAAAGCTCCCCAGAAGTTGCCAATTTCACCTGCAGTCCCTCTCTTACAAATGCACACTGCCATGTCCTCTTCAGAACCTAACTTGAAAATGTAAAATTGGGGGGTTAGAGAGATGGCTCAGCGGTTAAGAGCACTGACTGTGTTCTTCCAGAGGACCTGAGTTCAATTCCCAGAAACCACATGGTGGCTCACAACCACCTTGAATGAGATCTCGTGCCCTCTGCTGGCATGCAGGCACAAGACTGTATACATAATAAATAAATAAAACAAAATCTTTAAAAAAAGAAAATGTAAGAATTGTATGCTTGGGTGAGGTTCTCTAATTTTGTGGGGGTTGTGATATCATATTATCTGGATTTAAATTCTAGTTGTTCTACTTCATAGCTGTAGTAATTTAGCAAGTTAGTGAATATATTTGGGCCTCAGTTTCCATATATGAAAGTATATATAAAGTAACACCTAGCAGGTATGGTAGCACATGCCTATAACATCATCATGCAAAATATGGAGGCAGGGGAGTCACTTTAGTTTTAGGCTACCCTGGGATATGTAGTGAGTTTGAGGCCAAATTGGAATGCATAGCAAGATCCTGTCTCAGGGAAACAAAACAACCCAACATCGAATGCAATAGATTGTTGTGGGGCATATATCATTGCTGTCCAACATAGGTGGGCTGGAGGCATATCTCTGAGGGGTTCCTGTGTTATACCCCTTTCAGAAGGGATTCTTGAAAGGGAGGATAGCTTTATACTTGCACAGGGAACGCTCAGGCCCTCATCCCAATAAATGTCAGCACAAAAGATTCTATTAACCCTTTCTCCAGAAGTGGAAAAGTGATTGACCTGAGATTTCAAGAAAGAAAATGAATCAACTAACTTCAATAGCAATAGTTTCCATATTCTACTAGGATATGGGGAGAAAAATGCAGAACTTTTATGTTTGTTTTTTAGCTTATTGGTTTAAAATCTCTGTTTTGGGGCTAGGAGTGTGGTTCAGTGGTAAGTACTAGCCTAGTATTTGCAAATCTCTACATTGGATCCCCGGTACTATAACAATGATGATGGTAACAACAAAAACATAGATAGCATGCATATCTTACAATATACACAGTACAGCAACATGAGTAGAATGTCAAAGTAAATATATATACAGTGGAAGTAGATGCTCAATTTTCTCTTTTAAAATTTTTACATGTTTGTATGTATGTGTGTATGTATGTTATGGGCATGCATGGGCCACAGCATACATGCAGAAGTCAGAGAACAACTTGTGGGAGTTGGTTCTCTCCTTCTACATTATAGCTCTTGGGGGTATCAAACTCAGGTTAACAGGGTTTGCAGAAGCACCTTTACCTGCTGAACCATCTTTCCAGCCCTCAGCTTTACTTTTTAAGATTTATTTATTTGTGTGTGTGTGTGTGTATCTTTGTATGTGTGTATGCACACTTGTGTGTGGATGCCCTCATAGCCAGAGGAGCGCATCAATCTCCAGGAGCTGGAGTTACAGCTGATTTGGAGTGGCCTAATGTGGGTTCTGGGAACTGAACTCAGGCCTTCTGAGCCATCTCTCCAGCCCCCCTCCATTTTTTTTTTAAACAGGAATAATTAATCCAAATGCTAGCAAACTACTGCTCTAGAATGTAGGCTGACTAGGTCTACTACATATGTTATTCTAACTCCAAGGGTAAACACCAAAATCCTTTTCTACAGTCTGGAGCTATGCTATCCAGTATAGCTACTGACTGCAATGCTGTCTTAAATTCAGTGAATTAAAATAAGCTAAACCAAAATGTTTCAGTTTTGAATTGGACTCTGTAGTAGTCTGCCACACATTTCATGGCTTTAGTCTCCATAGATAAGAGGAGACATGTAATGTACATGCTTAGCTATCACATGTCTTGTGGCTTGTTGCTTCTGCATTCTGCATTGACGAGCAGCAATAGAGATTTAATTAGTGTAAGGAAGCTTAGTTGGGTAGTACTGCTGTGGAGAGAATACCTGGTTCCATACTCCTTGGGTGGCTTATACCATTTGGATTCTTTGGGTTTATGGGACCTAATTTTATGCCTCTGAGAAAAATTAATATGCATATGACTTGTCCTCCCTCCTAACTCCAAAGATCCTTCTCCAAAGGTACATTTTAGAGATGATAAAACAGGTCTACACTTCAGGAGCTGTGGAATTATTCCCAGGCATCCCGAGATGTCTGAATTAGACCACATTGAAAAATTAACTCATGACAATAACTCACTAGGAGAGTCCGAGGGCTTCTCCAACCTCTTTACTTCTAGCTCTCTACAAAGTATATGTATCTCCCATTATCCAGGTGGAACACCACCCCTCTCGGTGAGGTGAAGTGCTCTGAGACACTTGAGGAATGATGAGAGTGAAAACAAACAGAACTGAATCCAGCCAAGGTGTAGGGCTCCACTCTATCAAATCTGACTAGTGGATCCCCAGCAAAGAGCCTGGGAGCCCAGTGACAGGGACGGCCTGGTTTAACTTATCCAGACCAGAAATTATGAACCAAGATGGCAGCTTCCATTCTGTCACAGAAACACCTCATCACTTTGCAGTGACTGAAAAATAGCCATTTTCTGCTTGTTATTAAGTGTTTGCTGCTCCAGCAGCCTTTGCAGAGGTCACCTCCAGTCTCCCTTGCTCCTTTTGGAGTCTCCATGGCAGCACATCAAGAAGCAGCTTGATTCCACATGTTCAAGCAAATCTTCCTTGATTTTGCTGATCATCTTGCCTTTTTGTTTGTTTGTTTTTGAGAGAGGGTTTCTCTGTATCCCTGGCTGTCCTGGAACTCTCTCTGTAGACCAGGCTGGCCTTGATCGAACTCAGAGATCCACCTGCCTCTGCCTCCTCAGTGCTGGGATTAAATGTGTGTGCCCTATTACCCAGCTACTTTGTAGTTACATTTGCTTACTATATGGCTGTTTTTTGCTTGTTTGTTTGTTTGTTTTGGTAGTAGGGGGTGTCAAACCCAGGGCCTTGCACATACTAAGTACATGATCTATCAGCTGCGCTCCACCCCCTGCTCCATCTTATTTCTTTAGCTCGACTGTAAAAGGCCAGAGGCTTAGTGCTACATCTGACGCTTCTGTGTAGCTTGCATCCAGCTCAGAACTGAAAACAGGTGGCTCATTTAAATGCTCTCTGAGTAGCACCTACCGCCTCCCAGACACTGGGGATATAGTAGAGTAACATATGGCCTACTCGTGCAGCCTTGGGCCTGGCAGCCTGAGGCACAAACCACCTATCTCAAGACCAGATTTTCATGTAAGGAGGCTACTAACTCCTTTGTCTTCCTTAACTCCTGCAAACTGGACAGACCTGGATTAAACAGAAGTGCTTGCACTAATAATAGCCAGGTTCCATGTCTCTCTCTGCCTGCTTCTTTCTTTCTCACCTGCAGCCTTGTCCAAGACACAGTAGTCAGGGGAGTTGTCAAAGTAGACAAGATCAGTCCGGGTGGCATGGCGATAGCCTTGGCGGGCTGCTGTGAAGTTGGCACCATCCTGGGTGGCAGTCACCTGCACAGCCCCATCATACCTCCGCCTCAGGTAGTCACCAGTGCGGCGGAAGTCTGAGAGTGCTCTCCAGCAGGTGCGTAGAGTACAGGAGCCACTCACACCATGACACTTACATTCCAGCTTCAGAAATCGCCGCACAGCCTAGGGGAGAGAAGAAGCAGGTTAGGACATTGCTTAGTCACCTCTAGGGTCAAAAGCAGTAGTGCTATGAGCATTGTTGGCCCAGGCCTGCTGGTGGTTCTCTGCCATATCCCACCCATTCCTCCTGACCATGTCAGAGAATCTCTTCTAGGAAATCTTCCTGGACCAACAGTGCTTTGCTCTTCATGACTGCCGGCTGGATTGTCAAGCTCCCGTTTACAGCCTACACATCCTTTTAGAGCCAAGTGCCATGCCTTTTGCTTTTATAGCATATCGTTTCTCAGCACAGTGGTTAACAGATGCTCAAATACCAGTGAATAGCCTAAAGCAATACCTGACAGTCTTTATGAAGGAAGTTTTTTCTGTTTAAAACCAAACAAACAAAAACTACTTTTGGGCTAGTGAACTGATGTCAAGGAAAGCCACTTGTCATGCTGTCCTGGCAACCTGAATTTGATCCCCAGAACCCACATATAAGTGGAAGATAAGAGCCAGTTCCACAAAGTTGTTCTCTGACCTCCACACATGTACCATGCCATTCATGTCCACTCATATACGCAATGTGGACATACAACAATAATAAAGTTTAAAAATTTAAAAGCTACTTTGGGGTTTGGGAGATAGCTCAGCATGTAAGAACACTGTCAGCTGGGCGGTGGTGGTGCACACCTTTAATCCCAGCACTCAGGAGGCAGAGGCAGGCAGATCTCTGTGAGTTCAAGACCAGCCTGATCTCCAGAGAGAGTTCCAGGACAGCCTCCAAAGCCACAGAGAAACCCTGTCTCAGAAAAAAACAAAACAAAACAAAAACAAAAACAAAGAACACTTATTGTCCCCATAAGAACCTTGGTTTAAATCTTTACAACCCATGTAAAAATCCAGGCATGGAAGCACATGGACTATCTGTGATCCCAGGGATGGGGGCTGGGAGACAGAAACAGGAGGATTGGAGATAGGAAAATTGCTGGGACTTGAGTACCAGGTTCAGTGAAAGACCCTGTCTCAAGGGAATAAGGTGGAAAGTGGCAGAGCAGGACATCTGACATCCTCTAGCCTCTGTGAGTAAGTACAGACATGTACATGCACTTATACATATATGTACATACGAGCATAGACAAATCAATTTTTTTAAAGATTTATTTATTTATTATGCATACAGTGTTCTGATGGCAAGCCAGAAGAGGGAATCAGATCTCATTATAGATGGCTGTGAGCCACCATGTGGTTGCTGGGACTTGAACTCAGGACCTCTGGAAGAGCTGCCAATGCTCTTAACCTCTGAGCCACCTCTCCAGCCCGACAAATCAATTTTGTTGTTGTTGTTGTTGTTGTTTTCAAGACAGTTTCTCTAAGCTTTGGAGCCTGTCCTGGAACTCACAGAGTTCAGGCTGGCCTTGAACTCACAGAGAATCTCCTGCATCTGCCTCCTGAGTGGTGGGATTAAAGGTGTGTGCCACCACTGTTCGACCAACAAATTAAATTTTTAAAACTTTAAAATTTACTTTTTAGTTCAGCATGGTGGCACACAAATATAATACCAGTACTCAGGAGACTGAGATGGGAGTAGTGCCATAAATTTGAGATCAACCTAGTGAAATCTTGTCTCAAACAAAACAAAACAAAAAAACAAGGTGGGGCATGGTGGTACACACTTTTAATCCTAGCACTAAGGAAGCAGAGGCAGGTAGATGTGTGGAGTTCAAGGCCAGCCTGGTGTGTATGTTGAGTTCCAGGCCAGCCAAGGCTACACAGACTCTATCTCAAAAACAAAGAAACACCCCCCCCCAAAAAAAGTAAGGAAACAGGAAAGGGAAGGAGAAGGGAGAAAAGGGGGTGAGAAAGGAAGAAGAGAAAAAACAAAGTTACTTTCCTGTCTAATGAAAACCTGGTTGAACCTATGCATTCCCAGGCTCCCTTGCATTCTGTGGCAGAAGTTAGGGATTTTGGAAGTAATCCAGAAGCCATCAACTCTCCACCTCTGAATTCAGTCTGTGGTCACACTAACTGGTTTACACCAGAGAATATGAATGAACACACCCAGATGTGAGTACTGACCGTGCGACCACAGCGGTTGTTATGTAAGTTCATGAGGGCCCGGGCATCCTTAAGCCTCTTCTCTTTGGCATCCACAAAAGCCTTGGCAAAGCGGACACCATAGTGGATATTGTCACTACAGCCACCCCAATCAAAGTCCCCTCGTTGGTCATGGTGCCGACCACGGGTATATGGGTCACAGCTGCACACGCTCAATTCACCCTGGCTGCAGGCCCGAGTGATAGCATGGACCACTCCAGCTGATGAGATGGCATATACAAATGCTGCTTCCCGGCTACCTACATAGAGAGAGGCAGAGACATATTACAGGAACAGTCCATGTCTTCCACACTCCATCACCACCACCACCACCACCACCACACACACACACACACACACACACACACACACACACACACACACACACACACACTTCTGGGTGTTTTTCACAGTGTTATTCAATGGTCCAGGCCTGGAACTTGTTATGTAACCCAGCTTTGAACTTGAGATTTTCCTGTCTCAGCCTCCCTAGTGCTAGCATGTCAGGATGTCAGGGACAGGCCACATGGCCAACTCTGTCCATCCCCTTCTTCAATCCACACAATTTCAGAAGTTTCCTTAGCAAGGTGTCCTTCCTTTCTAAGAACATACGCACATGCACTAGTCCTGATGCAGGGCCACCTGCCTTGGTCAACATTCCAGGGTTTTCAGGCCCCCTCTGCTGGACAGTTCCCCTGCAGTGTTGACCCCTGCCCAGGGTCAGCCTATTCAGAGAAACATGCTAACTTTAGCCTGCTCTGGACCTCTCCTTGCCCTTGGGGACCTATGTTCATCATCCCTAGCTTTCCTTCACCTTTAGAGTCCTGCCTCATGTCTTTTCTCTGCCTTTGCTGAATAGCTCTGCTAAACTCTTTTGCTGAACTGGAGGTAAGCCACTAGCTCTTGAAATAGTTACATATCACCTTTCTGTTTATCTCTTGCTCCCACTACTGTAATGTTGGGGCTGTTAGGGTGACTGGTGGTAAGATGCAGAGGACTTGGTCCTAGTCCTTAGTCAGATAGTTCACAGATGCCTGTCTGGCTTGGATATGGGGAGGCCAGAGAAAGGCAGGGAGAAAGATGGAAGTATTAGGGAATACTTACCTTGGCCCACCATGTCAAGGCACTTAGGTTGAGAGGGGCCGACTTACACATCTAGGGTAATGAGCAGCTAGCTGTTCCTGTCTCCCAAGTTTGCCCACAATTGTTTCTTAGATTTTGAGGTAGTGTGTAGGAAAATGAAGGGGATCATGCCTACCCTCCTAACTCACCACCCCAAACAAAGAAAGGGAAGGGAGTGGGAAGCTTGGAAGAGGACCCTACTTCTAAGCATGACACGGCCAAAGACAGTATGGTCCCGGTCCAGTGTGGTGCAGTTCCAGCGGTGATGGCGGAACTGGTGCTGACACTCTCGGATCCATTCTCGGGCACCTTCACCCACTGAGCGCATGATGTCTGGGTATCGCTGGCACAGCTGCCGCTGCCGGCTCACTAAACCAGGGATGTTGTCACAGATCACTCGGGCTCCCAGTGCCCCTATGTACCTGTAAAGCAGAGGTGGACTTGTCATAGCATTCCAAAGGGGGGCAGGCATCAGCAGAGGGATCTGCTTTCTAGACCTTAAAGAGATTCCTTCCCTTCCCAAGTCATTCTCTAGGGCTGATGGATAGAACCATTACCCACAATCTCTGAAGAAAAAGCTACACAGTTGCAGAAAGTAATTGAGTGGTCTCCCACCATTACTAGTTCCCTAGCCAAAGGCTAAAGTAACACACACTTCTAGAACACAAGCCAGGCATGTGTCATATACACAGAAGCTGTGGGCATGTCATAAAAACCCACTGCCTGTTTATTTAATAAACATTAAGATCCTCACAGAAAAATAAACTAACAAAATGAGAATCTGAGACAACACTCTTACATGCACATGAGCGACTCGAGTGGCTGGTCTATGAAGATAGCTTGGCCACAGCAGGATGAAGAGAGGAGGGGGCTGGAGAAGACACGATGGGTAGTTCTGAGTAATGTTTACAGTTTTGGACTGTGTGGTTAAAAATTCCTCACTTCCAATCCCAAGGCTATAGAACAAGACCCATCTTTTACCCTCTTCCCCATTCCCTTTACTTAACTAATGAAGCTTTTAAAATAACTTTCCCCAACCTATAAGGCACAATGTCCAGGAAGGACCTTCATGGACAGAGCTGTTTGCAGTGGGAAGCCTGAACAGGACAAAGTACTGAGAGTTCAGTGGGCAGGATGGCACATGCCTTTAATCCCAGCACTCAGGAGACAGAGACAGGCAGATCTTGCTGAGTTCCACGGCAGCCTAGCCTACATGGAGTTCTAGGCCAGCCAGGGCCACATAGTGAGAAACTGTCTCTTTAAATAAACAAACAAACAATGTTATAGAATCTCTAATCTGAACAATTTACATGGTTAAGCAAGATGACCACTGAAGGATGGATGGGTTGCCAACATCATTCAAAACTAACTGCTCAAGACAATATTTCCTTTCAAAAATCTTACCCCCTGGACTCTACCATGCTCTCAAGAGATTCTGGAGAGAAAGCAGGAGCATATCCTTTCTCCAAAGTCCCCGAAGAGATGAGACTGCAGCTCCGATTCTCTCCCTTCTGTCCCACCCCCACCCCAAGGCACCCTCCACACAGTGCTTGCTTGGGTCATTTCAGCACGTTCTATTCTCTTGTGCTGACACTGAAATGGAACTCCACTCTCTTTCCTGTTGGGAACAGGTGGGAGCCGTAGCCATCAGTTGCTACTGAAAACAGGAAAACTTTGGTCTGAACTATGAATGAGCCAGTGGTTTGGGAATGTCCCCAAAGTGGGCCTAGAAGTGAGTGAGGGGAAGGGAAGGCAGCCAATAGGGGAGGGGCAAGCCATCCAGCCCTGAGCCCTACCCCCATACATTCCCACAGCCAACCATCACCCACAGACTAGATCACCACTAGTGACAGGAACTCAGGCAAACACAAGGAGGGTTGACGCTTGCCTCTTTGGGAACTCAGCAGGGCTGATGAGCCCCATCTGTCCACAGGGAAGGGTGAGAGGGCTGTTGCTCCAAGAACAAATCCCATGGAATCAGCATCCCCAGCACTGTCCATCAGGGCAGCAGCTTCCAGGAACAAACAAAATAAACACCCCAGGCTGGGCCAGGCCGGAAAGGCCTGCCTGACGCACAGCTTTGAGTTACACCCACTGCCCTGGTGCTTTGTTTGGAGTATTGAAACCATCGGAGTTGGAGCTGGTCCCTGTCTTACCACCGTTCTGCTTCCCCAGCTCAGCCCCAGATTACTGATCTAGGCAATGGGTGTTTGTTTTTTTTTATCTGGGGCTTGGAGGAAGGAGGTTGGTTGGGAATGGGAGACCAATAATCCAGCTCTCATAGACAGTCTGGAGTGGGGCAAGCCAAACTTTGGCAAAAGGGCCTTCTTGTGGTCTGACTTTAATCCATTCTGCTGTAGCCCACATTGATGCTTCACATTACATTCTCAATGAGCATGGGAACATCTGTTCAGTATCTACGATGGGAAGATAATTAGGCTTCCCTACTACCCAGCTTACTTCCTAAGTAACTGCTTCAAGACCTTGCATGGGACTTGCCTGCTGTCAGGTTCTTGGATCCTTGTAGTCAAGTGTGGGAACTGCCAATACTATTGAGCATGAAACTGAACCCATCGCCCCCAACTCAACACATGCTTGCACAATGCCTGCCACACGCCAGTCACCGAGCTTACTTAGAGGCACAAAGACTTCATGGCATCCCTCAGCTTATTGTCTGGGGGAGGATGTGTCAGTCCTGACTTCCTGTTTCCCCTTTCAGAAATTAATTCTTCACTTCCTTCCCAGCCTCTGCACCAGAGTGCTCTCTTCACCTGCTTTTTGACCAATTCTTTCTCTAGACAAAGTCATTCAGACCCTACACTAGCCCTTTGCTTCTTGGGATTTGTTAAGTGCCTAGACTCTGCCTCCAGATCAACTGAATCACAATCTGCATGTCAGTATCCCCAGTACTAAGAAAAACCTCTGGTGCATAGTAGGTACTCAGTAGCTACTGAATAAATGCATGCCTGCTCTTTTATCCCCAGCTTCTGTCTCCCTCTAGCCAGCCACCAACTCTGTTTAAGTTAGTTTGATTCTTTGTCAACACTGCCGATTGTTTTTCAGACATTCTATGTTTCTGTCCATTTAATGAAGCCAGGGATCTCCAGCCCTTCCTTTTGTGTCTATCCACTGGTGTAAGTATTAGAACTTAGCTGGGAATGGTGATTCATAACTTTAATCTCAGCACTCAGAAGGCAGAGGCTGGCAGATCTCTGTGAGTTTGAAGCCAGCCTGGTCTGTACAGAGTTCCAGGGCAGCCGGGGTACATAGTGAGTCGCTGTCTCAAAAACAACAGCAAACTGCCAAGATGATGCCACAGGATGTGGGCCAGGGAAATCTCTACATTATGGGTTCAGGAATATTGATGGTAATCCCACTCTGTGAAGGGACACTTGGCGAGAAACCAAGATGAGGGAAGCCAGCTGACTTCAAACTCAAGGAGCTTTTGTAGTTGGTTGGGTTTTTTTGTTTGTTTGTTTGTTTTGAGACAGTCTCACTATACATCCAAGGATGGCCTCAAAGTGTTGGTTCCCCTGCCTCAGGCTCCCAAGTAGTGGTATTACAGGAGTGTGCCATCATACCCAGCCAAAATTCATTTTTTATTCTAGGAGCAAGAGAGGCATACAATGTTTGATTAGAAATAAAACCATATAACTCCAAAATTGGTATAAAATTGAGCATAAAATTTCTTATTTGTGAGATAGGTATGAGATAGGGTCTCACTTTGTAGCCCTGGATGACCTAAAACTTGCTATATAGATCAGGCAGGCCTGGAACTCACCAAGATGCACCTGCCTCTGTCTCCGGAGTGCTGGGATTAAAGGTGTGTGCCACCATGCCCAGCAAGTTTGTTTTGTTTTATTTTATTTTCCTTCCTCTCCCATTTCTCAATCTCTTCATTGGCAAAACAGGGATTATAACAGTACCTACAGCTGGCTTATCCTGGAGATTAAAGATGATACCCAAAAAGGTGGTTGGCCATGCAGCCTGGAACTTAGGAAAGACTCGGTACAGGGTGTGTATTTACAGTACCGGCAATACTAATATGACTCTACTCTATGCTCTTTCTTTATGACCCAATACTAATAAGACCCTACTCTATGCTCTCTCTTTATGAGCCCAACAATATGCCCAGGTCTTGTGAGTCTCCACTTATCCACATTTCTTGTCATAGACTAAGAAGAAACCATTGTGACTTCTTGGAGTTAAGGAAGAGACGGAGGAGTTATTGGGGAGGAAGAGGAAGAATCCTAGGCTGTGAAGATCAGACTGGTGGTCATAAGGAGGGCCCTCTGCTCCGATGTAGAGCATAGATGCTCTGTAGACATCCATCTCTGCCAGGGATTTCACACAATACTAGCCTTTCTAGGTTTGAGATAATAATCACAGGGGCCAGACCTGCCTTCAGAATTCAGGTTTCCTTCTACAGGTGGTGACTACTGAGACAGACACCTATGGCTGTAGCTGTAACAAAGCGATGGCAAGGAGATGGAAATGAGCTCTGTACCCACACTCATCCTGGCCCTGAGGCTGTCTTCATGGACATAAGAACCCCTCAGTCCCTCTGTCACCTGCCTCCCTACCTAGCTCTTCCATCTAGTAGCTTTTGCAACATCTTTAAGATGAACCACACAGGTGGGAAGGAGACAGAAAATGGGACGTGCAGTACTAGTCAGGTAGTCAAGGGCTGCAGGTGAGTCTTTAGGAACTGCTACCAGGATGTGGAGATGTCCAGAGTGCCACTTCCTCATCTACAGGTCACCAAGACTGTCTCAAACTGCTGAAAAGCAATCAAATGTTTCAAAAAGCCAGTTACCATGTGGGCCAGATAGAGGTGGGCACTGGGTACTTCACACTGCCATGCTTTCTCCACAGTGACCCTGAAGAGGTAAGTCCTCAGCCCAACTTCATCATAAAGGTAAAGGGGGCTTTTGATCTCGCTCTGGTCATTGAAAGGCTTCCCCTCTTCCTTCTTTCTCTTTCCCTTTCTAAAGGAATGTTTCAAGCCAGATGTAAGATACAGGCCTCTGCTTCTGCATGCGAACCCCCCTCCTTGCCTTCCCCAACACTGCAGAGATAAAAAAGATCCAAAAGAAAGATTTTTCTTTAACAGGAAAACAGAGATGGGGGTGGGGATGGAGAGAGCAGCATCTTGAAATGATAGGAATCTCAGCCCAAGCTGGCTTGCCCCTCAGCCAGCTACCCTCACCCTTCCAGTCCAGATTCCTAGTCCAGAGGAGAAAAGCCACAGGGTGCGAGAGAAGAGTCCTCACTTCAGTTGGGGGTGGAGGTGTGTGTGTGTGTGTGTGTGTGTGTGTGTGTGTGTGTGTGTGTAGGGGAGTGCTTGCTTCAGGGGAGGGGCAGAGCAAGGGGGAAAGGGGACACTGCATGTTAGAGAAGGACGCTAGCCCAGTCCAA